CTGCAAAAAGATTATTTTTTTTTTGTCTTCGCCTATAGCAAGAAAACATTCAACTTTTCCACTCACCGAAGTTTCAGCCTCTGAAGTGCCCGCTATCCTGAAGAAATTCGTCTCGAAAGAGCGACTTCGGAAGCCGCCATTTTGAAACTGTCTTGGCAGCCAGGCCGTGTTTACGTGACGTCACTCCGTCCGACTTAAAATTGGCGGGAAGGAGAAAAACCTGCAACTGACTAGGCATCCTTCACAAGATCAGCAAAATCTGTTTTTTCTAAGCGATTATCCACGTCACTATCTTCAACGCTATTATTTCGGAGTTTGGAGCATGCTTGGCTCAAAACCCAGAGTGGTAGTTAAAAGGCTCTTCGCAAGCCATTTGGACAAAATCTCTCTGACGGAATGACGTTACGAAAATGCGGTCTGGTTGCTGAGTACTGTTCCAAATGGCGGCAACGGTGTTCGGATTTTGGGGTTCTTTGGAGACGAATTTCAGTAATTAAAGTAAAGATGGAGGCCATATTAAACTGTCATGGCATGGAAAAGAGTGATGTGAAACATCGGCCATTTTAGTCTAATATGGCCACCATCTTGAAACGAAGTCTCAGGTCTCGGGTCTATTGTCGTTTTTCTTACAACTTTGCTAGTCTTTGTCTCTATATCAAGAGAGTCTTCTTTCGCCTGGAACTTCATCTCTTGATATTAGAATCCCATCTCTTCGATGGGTTGAAAAGGGGATAATGTCCAAACAACGGCCGATGTTTCGCATCATCCTCTTTTCAATGTTGATCTAATATGGCCGTCATCATGACACGAAGCCTAACATCTCAGGTCTAATAAAATTTTTCTTAGTGTTTTGGTAGTTTTTGTCTTTACATTGAGACAGTCTACTGTCGCCTGGAATTTTATTTCTTGATATTAGAATTTCATCTCTAACACAGGTTAAAAAGAGGATGAAGTTCAAACAATGGCCATGTTAGCCTGGCCATTAGACTTACATGGCTGTTGTTTGACATCATCCTCTTTTCAACCCGTAAAAGAGATGGGATTCTACTGTCGAGAGATAAAGTTCCAGGCGAGAGTGGACTGTCTTGATGTAAAGACAAAAACTGGCAAGCTACTAGGAAAAACGTTATTGGACCTGAGATGTTGGACTTCGTTTCAAGATGGCCGCCATATTAGACTAACGTGGCCGATGTTTGACATCATTCTCTTTTTCACCCGTTGAAAAGATGGGATTCTACCATCGAGAGATGAAGTTTTACGTGACAGTTTTATATTTTGATATCCACACAAAAACTCTAAAGCTAACTACATAACAAGTTATGAGACCAAAAAATTTTAAAATGGCGACCATATTACGCTAACATGGCCGTTGTTTGGTCTTCGTCCTCTTTTCAACACCTTAAAGAGATGGCATTCTAATATTGAGAGATGAAGTTTCAGGCGACAGTAGACTGTGTTGATGTAAAGACAAAAAGTACCAAAATACTAAGAAAAACGTTATTAGACCAGAGATGTTGGTTTTCCTTTCATGATGACGGCCATATTAGATCAACATGGAAAAGAGGATAATGTGAAACATCGGTTGCTGCTTGGATTTATCATCTTTTCAACCCGTGAAACAGATGGGATTCTAATTTAAAGAGATGAAGTTCCAGGCCAGAGTAGACTGTCTGGATACAGAGACAAAGACTAGCAAGGTTCTAAGGAAAATGACATTAGACCTGAGATGTTGACCTTCGTTTTAAGATGGCGGCCATATTAGACTAACATGGTCGATGTTTTACATCATAGTCTTTTCCACCCGTTGAAGAGATGGGATTTTAACATCGAGAGATGAAGATTTAGGTGACAGTGTTATATCTTGATATTCACGCAAAAACTACCAAACTACTAAATAAAAAGTTATAAGACCAGAATAGTTGCCCTTCTTTACAAGAAGGTGGCCATATGAGACTGACATGGCCGTTGGTTGACATCATCCTTTATTTAACCCGTGAAAGAGATGGGATTCTAATATCGAGAGATGAAGTTCCAGGCAACAGTAGACTGTCTTGTTGTAAAGAGGAAAACTAGCAAGGTGCTAGGAAAAACTTTATTAGGTCTGAGATGCTGGACTTCGCTTGAAGATGGCGGCCATATTAGACTGACATGGCCGATGTTTGACATCATTCTGTTTATCACCAGTTGAAGAGATGGGATTCTACCATCGGAAAACGAAGTTTTATATGGAAGTTTTATTTCTTGATATTGAGACAAAAACTACCAAGCTACTACATAAAAACTTTTTAGACCAGAAAAGTTGCACTTTCTTGTAAGATGGCGGCCATATTAGACTTACATGGCTGTTGTTTGACTTCATCCTGTTTTCAACCCGTAAAAGAGATGGGATTCTACTATCGAGAGATAAAGCTCTAGGTGACAGTAGACTCTCCTTATGTAAAGACAAAAACTAGGAAGTTACTAGGAACAACGTTGTTAGCCCTGAGATGTCGGACTTCGTTTTAAGATGGCGGCTATATCAGCAGAGTTCCGGCAGCCCATAACTATAGGAACAAACCCACATGCATGCATAGAAATAGAAACCCTTGCAACTCTTTTTTTCATGGTCAACACGGCTAGTGGCATTGATCGCGGGCGTGTGCGCCCAACGACGACGACGACGTCGTGCAACATGGCGGCCATACTCCAGCTAATACCAAATCTTGGTTTACAGCGTCCGTCTTTGATATTTGACATCCGTTTTATGGTCAATTGACCTGTCAAACCAAGGTATACGCAGACCAGTATCACGTGACCATATAGCGGGCTTAGGCTTATAGCTCATGGGGTCCTGTGTTTTTTAAGTTGATCGCTGGCCAAGTACTTGTTTTCGATTGGATCGCGGGCTCATGTCAGGTTAATTTCTTGTAATTAGGACCGGGTTGTTCGGAAATTGGGTTAACGCTAACCCAGGATTTAAAGTTTACCAAAGTATAAATTTATCGTCTATACAAGTGTTTTTCACTGCTCTAGGGTCAGGGCTTGAGATTATTCAAACTCAAAACAGAAGGCAAAGCAACAGAAGCAGAAAACCTCGCTGTAAAGTTACAAAACTCGAATCAAAATTCTCGCTTATCCTGAGTTAGCTTAGTCAGGTTTTGAACAACCCTGCCCAGGAGCTCCGCTTTTAGGCTTAGCTAAATCTATATATTAGTTCAGTATGTTGGTGTTAGTTAAAACATGGAACAGAATACATGAACAAGGCTGTGATGATTCTTCTTTTATTTTGCAAAGTCCATTTTGTGATAGGTCGCGCTGCCTTCCAGGCTCGTTTAAGTTTTTGCTTGTTTTGTTTTGGTTTGCTTTCTTTGGCGTACAGCGAAAGTAATGTAAGGAATTCAGACTATGATTTTAACTAGTGTGTACGGGGGTACACTTCCTTTTATGAGCTGTGTAGGTAAGTGCGGCCTCAAAGGTGAGCCGCTTTGGTCCATAGTAAGATCTAGTTTTTGATCACTTTAAGACAGAATATGGTTATAAACTCGGGTCACCCATTAGGTATGATTCTTATAAAAACAATATGTTATTTGGTCGGTCAATATTGGGAACAACTCTGCCCAAGGTCTTGAGTATTTAAGAACGAGGGCGCCGACCAACCAAAGCCGGCAAACAACGTGTTTATTTTTTTCTCCACGGTATTACTTTGAAAGCAACCTTTGTATTGAATTTCAATTAACTGAGTTCATATGAAATACTTGAAAGTACTGGTGAGATGAAACTGATGATGAAATTTGTTTCTACAATTTCTCTGAACTTTGAAATTTATTTCCTCGATTTTCCATGGGAAATTGTTTTTGGTGTTATTTCAGGTAAATATTTATATCGTTAGCTGTTAGAAAATGCAAAAAGGACTGTAATATACTTAAAATTATTCTGGTATAAGGTTTTTGTCCACTAAAAGTTGAAATTGCTCGATTTCCTATCGGATTTCGTCTTAAACTCTTAAATTAATCCACTTGTTTACTGTTGGAGAATAAAGGAAATTCGACGGTTTGTGATATCGAAATTACGGTCCGCGTTTGGAGTCAGCGGTCTACAGAATGGAGCTATTCGTATCAGACAAGTTACACCAGTCTGTCAATTATATCCCAGGAGTCCCAGCGAATCGTGCAACGCCTTTACAGGCTCGATTTTGACTAGTTTTTACGGTGCGACTTTTCGAACCTGGTCACTTGGAAAATGGCTAACCAATCAGAACGTAATCTAAATAATCCAACAACATTGCAGAATACGAACGATAGTTCTTAACAAACCTCACGGGAACCTTTGGAATTTCCCGATTGGTTAGTTTCCTACTTTTTTAAGCTTAATTTTCAACGGTTTTGGTTTCGTCGCAAAATGAGTTTTCAAGCTAAAGTTTTCGAGCGAAATTTATAATTATGATAATTCGCCGTCAAGGACTGAATCTCTGAGAGTCTACTGATATAACGCAAAGGAGTAGATAGTACTTGCATCCATGTCAAATAGACCCTTATTGTTTGCCGCCATGAGAAAGCTGCCAATCCATTGTTCTCACTTTACGTTTTGATTGGTTAGTTTTGTTCTAGGTGGCCCGGTTCGAGTAGTCGAACTGTAAAACACCAGCGTCTCGTTTGTCAGCTACGCATGCGTAATCAACTGGAAGTCCGATATCCATGGCCTTCCACACCGCTCTCTCTCCTCCGCAGAGGTTCGAAACTTTCGTTAACGAAAGCCGCTGTGCGAGGTGAGTGCAGGCGTAAAGTCGGATGGATCGTCCTCCGCGTCGCGGCGACCGGGAATGATCGTAGTCTTGCTTAGGCGTATAAATCACTAATAACGTGTTCACCAACGATTGGTAAGCTTTCTGATACCATGATTGTAGCATCAATTGATAACGAGTGGTTATGACCCATCATATCCAAATTGCTGTACTAATACATAAAACATAGATGGATCAGAAACGTGGCAGTCACAAAAACAGCGAATGCGGTGATTCAAAATCTGATTCGGCCAAGGAGAATTTATTTAAACTGTTGGAAAACCAACACTTTTCGCCTTCACAGAGGGTATTCTCCAATGCGGCTTTTTGAACCGCTGTTGTCTTCTTCACTGCATTGTTTTTAATAATTATTTATTTCGTTTAAAGGTTAGTACTGTTTTATAATCACTATCAGCTTACTAGCTCTTTGGCGCTACTGCTATCAAAAAGTGATTTCAAATTTCTTAATTGAATGGTTGATAAATTGATTGGATAATTGATAGTTTATTTGTTTTTTACAAAGTAGATTAAATTTTTCTACAATATTAAATTAAAGTTTATATCTCCTAATATTGTAAAATTCATGATAAGAAAATACATTCAGCAAAGGAAATATAAGACTGCTAGCTGCTTTATAATTTGTGCATATCAACACAATAACCGCCAGTGCAGCCCCTTACCGCAAGGAGACTTAAAAAGATCTCGTAACTTAAGAAATCTCAAAACGACAAGGCGTCACAATTATTTTTATAGCCCCAAATCAGCCAGGCATCTTGGCATGTTATTCATTCGCGGATGAAATAATAATAATAAAAATGGCAACATTTAGTCGCCTTGAACATCGAGGCAATCCACGGTAATCCACGCCATTGCCATAGGTTTTCGTGAGACCTCCTTTTTTCATTGAAGGGTTCCATTCTTGCTTCGCAAGGTTCGATTCTTGTCGCGTTCAGTTCGGTTGTTATCATACAGGGTTTTGATCTTGCTGTTTAGAGTTCGGTTCTTGCCGTGCACAGTTAGCTACGTGTCGTGTAGTGTTCGGTTACTGTTGCGTAGGATTCGATCCTTGTCGTGTAGGGTTCGGCTCTTGTCGTGCACGGTTAGCTTCTCATCGGCTACGGTTCGGTTACAATTGCATAGATTTGGCTACTTGTCGTGCAGGGTTCGGTTACAGTTAGCTACTTGTCGTATAGGGTCCGGTTATTGCCGTGCACGGTTTGGTTATTGTTGCGTAGGATTCGTCTGTTGTCGTATATGGTTCGGTTCTTGTCGTGCAAGTTTCGGTTCTTATCGTGCAGGATTTGGTTCCGGCTTCGCATAGTTCGATTCTCGTCGTGTAGAGTTCGGTTAAAGTCGTATAATACTCGGTTCTTTCTCGCGTTATCTCGCCCACATGACACGCGTTCATCGGTTACTCTTCCCAAGGGCTGACGTCTGTGTCGATCGCCAAGCAGTTGTAAGCAGCATATCGTATCTTTTCCTCTGCTACTTTCGCACTGAAAGTAAAAGAAATTACTTAAGATACTTTATCGGAGCAAGAGATCACAAAATAAGAATAGGAATCCTTCTTTCAGTCTGGATGCCACACCAGCCATTAGTTTTATGAAACTATTACGAGTGGACAGAGCCATCGAGGTTTAGTTTAAACTTTCGTACAATTCGAATGTAAGGAGAAATACGTTGGAAGAGTCAACGAGCGTGATTAACCTTTTGTGAAGGGTCGATTCTATCAAGCCTTTTGTAACGGTAAAAGCAATTTCTGATCTGGATCGGGGCATGACTAGGTCAAAACTACGCTCTGATAATAAAATTAAGCTTCGAACAAGCGATTATTAGAACTAAGTTACATTTTGTTAAGCCTTGGTTAGATTAGGCATGGGGATAGCGATAGCTAATAGTGAAAGCTTTCGGGGTGTTGACGCGTCCAAGTGGTGGTGGTGAGGGGGATGTCATGTTAGTATGCTAAATGTTTCGGGTTCGGATTTGGGTTGCGAATTACATTTTTTCCGTTGAAATTTTCGATCACAGTAAAGAAATTTTTGTGTCTCTAAAATAACGTTCACCGTTTACGAAAGCGAAACGTGTGTCGCCGACGCCAACTCACTCTAAGGAAGAACACGAATAGAGAAAAAAAGAAAAGCACAAGAGATGAATCGAGAAAACAGTATTAATACCCGCTCCCTATCAAACCATTAATCTGATTCGGACTGAAGTAGTAATCTTGAATTGATTACAGGGAAAAAAAACAAATTCGCCACTTTTTTGACCACACCTTGAATATTCCGGTAGAAAAAGTGTGCTGGAACAGGTGGCAGCTTCAGGTAATGAATCAACTTGCACAGAACTGAAAAAAGATCACACAGTATTCAGTGAAGGTTGATCCATTTAGTATCAAACGATTAAGCTGCACATGATGCGCGACTAAACTGGAATCTGATTACAAAGTTGGCGCCACAGTGCCAACGGGCTGTTCTTTTCATTTGGCTGGTAATTAAAGGATTAGGACGAAAATCGTTATTATTGCCCAGTCGCGAGGTTCATATCAACCAATATCAATAATCAAAGTTAATATAGTCCCCGAGAAAGACTTCGCTTGCGGTCACAGTTGTAATATCGACCAATAGATTTGTTCTTTTGCCGCAGCGTCAGCCTTGCTACCAGTTTGTTATTGTTGTTTTAGTTTAACATTGATGGACAAAACGTTTGACTCTAACACTGAAAAACCACACGTGTAAAGGCCGTAGAAAGGATGTGTACGTGTAAAAAACGAGACGCTTTCCTGGTTGAAACTTAATAGTCTAGAGATAAATCAAGAAATATTAGCGATTGCGATTGAAATATACTTTCGGTTCGTCTTCGAAAGGGTGCAAAAGCCACCTCAAAAGTTTCAAAATCACGTCAAAACCTAGTAGCGAAATCCTTTTCGTTCAAAACCATGCTTTCCATCGGTGCTATATATGTTTATTGTATCTCTTAGTTAGTACGCGCTCTGATTGGTCACTTTAGCGGGCCGTAATCTACTGTACGGCCCCCTAAAATTTAAAGCTGTTTTTGTTGCCAAAATGTTTCGTGACTTATCGCCAAGTGTTCTTAACATTTTTAGGAGGTAAAATTTTAAACCTTTTTTTACTTCTGAAATTCTGTATTAAAACCTACTAACGATTTCAAATTGACTAGTTTAGCTTTCGAGGTGTNGTACGCGCTCTGATTGGTCACTTTAGCGGGCCGTAATCTACTGTACGGCCCCCTAAAATTTAAAGCTGTTTTTGTTGCCAAAATGTTTCGTGACTTATCGCCAAGTGTTCTTAACATTTTCAGGAGGTAAAAGTTTAAAACTTTCTTTTACTTCTGAAATTCTGTATTAAAACCTACTAACGATTTCAAATTGACTAGTTTAGCTTTCGAGGTGTGTCAGAAATTTGAAGCCGTTCTGTGTGAATAGAAATCGTTCCCGAACCCTTCAGACACCCAGTAGAGATATAATAAATATCTTACTAACCTAGTTTTCTCGGTCCGTACTGTAGGTTACGGATCCTCGTTTTTTCCCCTTCGATTTATGGCCCGCGCGCTTCGCGCATGGGCCATAAATCGATGGAGAAAAAACTCGGTCCATAACTTACAGTACGGCCCTCGAACTCGGTTAGTAAGAGGTATGTAGGTAACCTCTGACTTTAGCAGTAAAAGAGCTTACTATGCAATGGTATATATCAATTTAGCCGTCAACACACTTTCAGCTGTAAGTTCGGTCTCACCTTCTTCCCGGACAAATATACAATGGAGCTGGAAGTCTTCTCCGTCCGGTTACGAAACGAAGAAATCGGCTTCGATCATCTNTATTGCCCAGTCGCGAGGTTCATATCAACCAATATCAATAATCAAAGTTAATATAGTCCCCGAGAAAGACTTCGCTTGCGGTCACAGTTGTAATATCGACCAATAGATTTGTTCTTTTGCCGCAGCGTCAGCCTTGCTACCAGTTTGTTATTGTTGTTTTAGTTTAACATTGATGGACAAAACGTTTGACTCTAACACTGAAAAACCACACGTGTAAAGGCCGTATAAAGGATGTGTACGTGTAAAAAACGAGACGCTTTCCCGGTTGAAACTTAATAGTCTAGAGATAAATCAAGAAATATTAACGATTGCAATTGAAATATACTTTCGGTTCGTCTTCGAAAGGGTGGAAAACCCACCTCAAAAGTTCCAAAATCACGTCAAAACCTAGCAGCGAAATCCTTTTCTTTCAAACCACGCTTTCCATCGGTGCCATATATGTGTAGGTAACCTCTGACTTTGGCAGTAAAAGAGCTTACTATGCAATGGTATATATCAATGTAGCGGTCAACACGCTTTCAGCTGTATGTTCGGTCTCACCTTCTTCCCGGACAAATATACAATGGAGCTGGAAGTCTTCTCCGTCCGGTTACGAAACGAAGAAATCGGCTTCGATCATCTGGGCAAATGAACATAAAAATAGGATAAGCCAAGCAGAGACGAAAAGGTGGACATTTAACAACAACAACCACAAAAAAAATTATCTTACCATTTGTGAAATTCTCCAAAGCTTTCCACAAGAATTTGACCCGCCGGTCATTTTCGGTGATATCTTCATAGTGCACTGTGGTAATATCAAGAGAGAAGCGCTGATAAGTAAAGGAAAATCTCGTCAAATTATGGTGGAGTAGTTCAACTCCTGAACCAGTGAGGCATATACGTATTACGGTCAATTTTCAAGGGGCTACTTTGCCGAGTTCGACTTTTCAAGCACGGCGCTCGTATATAACCATAGTTTGAAGAAACGAATGTCATTGGCTTTTGAAACATGTTTGAAAATAACACAATGTTTTATACTAACAATCGCACGTTAGTTGCATAATTAGGTTTGAATTGCATTAAGCAATCCGTGTAGGCACGTTTTAACATTGTCTTGAGTGACAACAGACCCTATTCATAAATGACTGCCAATTAAAAATTGTTTTGTAAGTATTAAAATGAGCCCAGCTAGCCTAAATTATGAATAGGGTCTATGAAAGTGGTACTGGCGTCTACATTGGCACTAAACTAAGTTTAAGTAGCTACTGCCAGTATTAGTAAAAGACTCGTGCGTACAACGCTCAGTAAGGTTGAGCGCAACACTTGGGAAATTTGCGTTCAAATAGCGAGACACAAGGATTGGTTCAACCGCGGCTCTATCTCCTTTTCCACCCTTGCCCGAAGAAAAGGAGAGAGAGACCCTTGGATCGAGGAAGGGATTGGCTGTTTGCCCAACAGCGGGTATGGTGCATACGATACTCGCGGGAGGGAGGCGAGGTTAAACACCCTAGGGCGTATTATGTGGTTGACAAAATCTTTTTTTACAATAACTGCAGGAATTCTCGCGCGCTCATTGACTAATTTTCATTGTCAATAAGCGGGCAGACACATCAATTTATAATTTATGCGATGCGTCAACGCGTGAGAGCAGAGAATTTGACAATTTGTTATTGTAAAAAACAAATTGACGTCAGTTTTTCGCGCGTCTGTCCTGTTATTGACAACGAATTTGTCATGACATTGTCAAAGTAGTCTGCGGATCCACTCGGCTATTGCCTCGTGGATCCACAGCTACTTTGACAATGTTATGACGAAATTCATGATCAAAAACAGGACAGACGCATGAAAAACTGACTTCAATTTGTTAAGCAGTTTGTTGCCAACCCTTGGTAGTTACTACGCGTATCATTGAGCTTGCTTTGATATCAAAGGTCTAATTTTTCCTGTCAATCAACAGTAAGTAGTGAATACTTACTGCATTTTTTCAACGCCTCCACTGTTAGATCTGGATCCCCACACACCCTCCTTTCCAGTTCCTGCCAAGTAAGAAGGTCGAGTACAGCCTGGGAAAGAACTTTAAGAAGACCTCGCCTTATTGCCTCGATCTGCGGATGAAAGATAGTTTAACCTGGTGACATCACTAATGAAAGGCGTAGAGCACAGCAAGAATACATTGTTTTAGCCTTTGAAATAAGTCTCCTGACAACTCAGCTCCAACAAAGCTTGCTCCCAAGACAAAGTTATGACGCAAAATCTTTGTACAATAAACGGACAATTAGAAATATTAAATTTCATTCGAAGGACTGTGCAAAGGAAAAATTGACAGTGCTACTGAACAACAAGAATGTCTCAATGAACTGTTCAATAACAAGGTATTCAATAACACGGTGTCCACCGTCCACCGTGGCGCGCGGTCTATTGAGTTCTTCCTTGTGATTAAATACTCCTCGATATTTTCAACATACTCTGGTCGCCCAATCTGTTCATCTCTCGTATGACTGCAGATCAAACTGGACACACTAATTCCATCAATGCGTGTGTCGTCTGTTCACTGACCAGTTATCTCTAACGTCGTCGAGAGAGGGCGCGGACAAGATTAAAACTGCAAGAAATTAAAAGTAGCGAAAATGCAAGCGGGTGGGATAGGGGAACAAACGACCGTAGACAGTCTCGTGTGAGGTTAACCACAAAAGCGTCTTAGCTCCTAGTAGTGTCACATATTTTACGTTTCCGAAGGCCTTCAAGGGACGATTTGTTCAGAAAAAATTCACGCCAAATCCCTGATTACTATTTCAGATGCATCTTCCACACACAAAAAAATATATTTCAACGAGTTATCCACAAAATCGTATTCTTAAAATCAGAATGTGTCAACCACAGAGTTCCTTGTGACGTTTTAGCAGCAATCTCGTCAGCGGACTGGAATTTCAAGCTTCAAGTACTGTTTAATTCAAAACTATTTCAAGAATTACTAATAGTATTCATACCTGCGTTTTCCCTTCACACATTCGACAGTTGCGCACGAGTTGAATGTACTCCGTTCTTTCTTCATACTCAACAAATCTGTCCGCTCCACCAGGTACAAGATTTACTAGTGTGTTGTCACTTAACA